CCCCAAAACCCCAAAACCCCAAAACCCCAAAACCCCAAAACCCCAACCTGTTGATTTGTGTTGAAAAGCAATCAGATTTATAAAGATCTATAACGAGCATTTTGTTTGACTATCACATCATTCAGTTCTAAGTCAAATTTATCCTTGAAATGATTCATTCTGATAGGCCCTTCCTCTTCATTTAGTCTTGAATCTGGATTTTCTTTCTCATCTTCCTGCTTCTTTAAGTATTCAAGGCCAACCTCTTTGAGAATTCTTACACTTCCTTTCATGAGAGGTGTGATACGGCACCTATTTTTGATTAATGGGTTGGCACCTCTCTGGATCAGCATATTGATCATCCGAAAGTCCTCTATCTCGATGGCTTTGTGTAGAGCTGTGTTTCCTTCTGAGTTTCTCAAATTGATATCTGCTCCAAGTCCCAATAAGGCTTTAACGAACTCCAAATTGATGCTTCCCACTGCGTTGTAGAGCAAGCTGTTTCCGTTACTGTCTTTAAGATTCAAGTATTTCTTCTGGTGGAACTGAAAACTATTTATTTTTAGAAAATTAGTGTTGTTATCATACGCAGCCTTAAACAACTGGTTCTCAAATTTAGTGAATTTCCTCTCTCATTTTGTTTTCTTAGGTTCGCAAACATGATTTGGATTCGTGTTCCGACACCCGTTACTTTTCTTAGGATTGGGTGTTTTTAGTTATCATATCATCAAGCTTCTTATACTGATTTAGGTCACTCATAATGTCAAGATTTATTTCTAGTCTCTTCTCAGGGTCTATTTTGACAAGATCTTTCATTTTTTGGATCAACCTTCTTTGATTTTCTTTAAAATTCTTCCTCATAGTCTTTAAAAGCTGCTTGGCTTTGTATCATTTCCAAGAACGCTGGATTATGGATGCTTTTTCGTCTATTTCAAGATAACTCAGGTTTGTAAATTTCCTTGAATACGAAATGATGTCATCATCAAATCTTGCTTGGAGGTACGCTTCACACTAAACCTAAGATTGAGGCACTTACAATCTTTTTATTCTGAGTTTCCATGAAATTACTATCATCTGGGTCCACTGCTCCCTTCTCCATTGCGAAGCTTTTGAAGCTGTCTAGTCTCCTAAAATCTTTTTGAAATTTGAGTTTATCAAAAGGTCCTGTCTTCCTGGCGGATATCTTAATCAACCTCTCACAAGTCTTTATCATTCTGCTGAAGGCTTTAGAGTTCATTGTAGTCGGATGCCTGGGCTTAGATTTCTTACCACCAGACGATTTCATACTCTTTCGCTTTGTCTCCTAAAGATTAGAGCTGTAATACCCTCATAGATTCGAGTAACAAATCTTGGTTGACCAATTTTTGTTTCAGACTATGGAACACGTCCAGTCCTTTCTTAGGATTGATAAATTCTCTCTTTATCTTACCCTTTTGGGGATTTATAGTGTTACCTATACAGAATTAAAGTGTGCTTTCTAATGTTCAAGGCTGAGTGTCTCCTCAAAACAAATTGTGGCTTACTCATACCCTCAACACGGCTTATAAAGGCTTGACTGGAATCGAATCTTTGAACTGTGGAAGAATTTACACTTTCAGTGACTTTCTTTGAAGTCCTGACTTTTAGTGAGGACTTCAAGGCAATATCACTTCCTTTCAGTTTAGTCTTCTGAGAGTCTTCAAGTGTTGAGTGGAGAGCCTGGGAAATATTTGGCTGGGAAAGGGACTTAAGTCCCTTTTCAAATTTTTGTGATTCGAAATGTTTTCCTGATTTTTTGCGTCTTTTATTGATTTTAATAACTTTAGAAGAAGATAGAGATGACCTACACGAGGATTTGCACTTCTTTCAAGGTTTTAGGAGAGTCATAGTTTTAGATTTAAGGTCTGTATGTGTAAGATGAACTTTAAATTACCGCCTGAGCTTAATTTTGAGATATTTCTTTGCTAAAATAAAATCATAGTAAATTTTAAAAATTCACAAAGAATTAAAATAAGATTATTATGTAACTTATTTTTCCTTATTTTTAAATTTCAAAAGAAGAGCTAATGCTATTTAAAACCTTAAATAGAACAATAACCAGTCTGATTAGACTGTCACTTACTTTCCCCTCTTCATTAGGTGCTTCAGTAATTCTGTTATAGCATCTATATACATGTTAAAAAATATAATTTACGCCTTAAATTTAATTTTTATCAGCTTCATGAGACCATTCAGGAAATCAAGGAGGATCTTTGAGTCTATCTTATCTAACATCAAGTCCTCTACAGGAGATTCACCACGAAATGAAGCATTAGCTTTGGAACAGATACTCTTCAGACTTGGGATAAAATCTTCATTATTTGTACTCTGAGAACCAATCCTTGAGGTCAGTATTCTTAAAATCCTTAAAACTTGTAAGAAGCTGGTTGAGTACTTCATCTGTGATAGATGTGAAGGCTAGAACTCCTTGAGATGAAGACTTTTGCTCCTTTTCCTCTAATGACTTATGAATACAGTTCCAAATGAACTCTTTGATAGCCTTTACTGTACCAAATTGAATAATATTTCCAACCAATGGGTTGGGATTTTTAACTAGAGATTCATTGACCTTGAACATAAATGTAGAAAAGATTTCCAGATCAGGAATTCTCTGAATTTCTGCCTTATTCTCCTCGGATTCTATAGTGAGACAGTTAGCCTCTCTTCAAAGGGATTTTGAAAAAGAACTTGAGGAACTTACCCTCAACAGTGTTGTTAGTATGAGAAACACTGGCTTTAGACAGCTTCTGTAAACGACTGCTCCTTCTAGGAGTGGCTAATCTCATTATACTCTTCTTAATCGATGGTGAGAAGAAGGCAGATTTCCTTGGTGTTTGGGCTACTTTACGTCTCTTCATCGAGAAGGTGCTTGACCTTGGCCTTTTCCTAATCCCTTCAGGAAATCTAATAAGTTATCAGTAAAAATTATTAGTAAAATTCTGAGAAATATAAGTTGTAACCTACCCTTCCATGATCGTCACTCTGGAGATTCTATATAGCAGGAATAAGTCCCTTCGAAGCTTATTTAAAGGAAGAGAAGATATTTGGGAGTGAAATCGTCAAGAATGCATACCTTCTAACCCTCTTTAGACTCTTTTTCAGGCTTAAGATTTTCACAAGCGGCAGCTTACATCTGGATGCTCTCTTATCTAGAGTTGAGGTAGAATTCAGGATTTTAAGATTCTCCTTAGGAACTTTAAGATAACTTCCTGCAATATTAATTTTCAAAGTAAAGATTTAATGGAAATTGCAATCAATATTTCTAGAGATTTTAGCAGAAGCAATCAAGATAAGAAACTAAAAGTCTCTAAAACTAGTTTTTCCTTAAGAACTAAACTCCAATACCCACCGTCTCTATGAGCTTGGGCAGTTTATCTCATTACTCGTCTCTTACTAACAGCATAAGTCTAAATCTACTTACTTTGCTTCATTTACGTATTTCAATAAAAATTAATTGAACGGGGTTTTGGGGTTTTGGGGTTTTGGGGTTTTGGGG